TCTCCTGTGATTAGGAGAAACAGATATTTAATAGCTTATTTACATAAAATGAGAACAGGGTTTTTTATGAAGTTACAGAAGTCTCACTGCAAGGCCGGACTCATGGGAACTGGAGCTCTTGAGACGGGCATCTCTGGGAGACGGATTCTCTCTGTTTCTGCCTCTCTGTGTCACTGTGGCGCGCTCAGCACCATTTAGCATTTTCCTCCATGCCACCTGGCAGGATCTCTGCTTCCCTAAAACCTCAGCTTGCCTCTAGCATGATGCCAACAGAATATTGACAGCTGATTGGCTCATGTCCTCAGGGCCACAAATCTGAAATTTAAGACCAGACATCTGATTGGCCTATCTAAAGGCAGGTGGTCACCCATAGTCCAATCAGCTGTAGCGAGGAAAGGCGTGATCACGTAGAACTAGCACAGCCAATGATACCCAGACCTTCCCAGGGACACTGAGAAGAACTTTCACAGACCTTGGCTGGATGCCTGGCAGCCTCTCCCACGCCTGTCTGGGACATACTCCTTGTTTTGGTCTCTTGAGTCATACTACCTGTGTTCCCATAGATGAAACTCATCCCATTTTGCTTATTGTCATGGCTACTGGTATCCTTGCTTGTCTCCTCCTAGATAAGGGAAGAAATTTTGTCTTCCTGAGATAAACCAAAGAACTTACATACTTAACATGCATAGCCCATGGACACAGACAATAGTGTGGTGAAGGCGGGGGTGGGTGGGGGTGGGGGGCCGGAATGTTAGAGGCTGGGCGGAGGGGGTAGAAGGGGGAGAAATAGGAGACAGCTGTAATAGTACTGTCAACAATAAAAAAAATTTTTAAAGAATTTTGTCTTCCTCACTTCAGTACCCTGAATCCCTGCCTAGCCCCAGAATTGGCACAGAGGGCTTAAGAAAATGTCATCTGAAATGAATAGTTCACTCCCCAATCATTCATCCTCAAGGTGGGATTGGGACTTTGGAGATGAAATGTGGGATGTCTCGGAGCCACCTTCTGGCCTCATGAACTGTTTCTCTTGTTCACAGACCTCTGGACTTCGTGGGCACCTTTAGTAACCGATGGTCCTACGGAATTGCCTTCGGAGCCACAGCCAATAAGGTCATGTTCTTGTTCTCAGAAGGCTCCCAGCTCCGGCAGATCCCGCAGTGGGCCCAAGGTACCAGGGCCGCCTCATAGCTGCTGGGAGTTTAACCATGGACATTCTTGCTCTCAGAGACAGCATGCAGGGGTTCTCTGGGGTCAGAGGGTAAGCTCTGTGAGGGAACTCAGTGTTCTTCCTGCCTGTTACTTGTCTGACATCAGTGCCTAGCCCACAGAGTCTCAAAGCTTGTGTGGGGGGCGTTCTCCTAGTCAGAGGCAAAGGTTCTTTAGACAGAGTGGAGCAAAGGCTCAGAAAGTAGGTTCACCACCACCCACCCTGAAAATCCCTCCTGAGCCATAGTCATGGCTGCCTTCTTACTACCAATAGGCCCTCAGATACTTCCTCAAAGAGCAGATCATCTTTGGCCGTTGGTCTGGGGCCTCTTCATTCTCCATGCCTCATGCTCCCCCTGAAGTGGCAACTTTAATCTACAGGTTCAACCATCCCTAATATGACAACTTTCAAACCTCTCTGTCCAACCAGTGTTCTCTCGGTGATTCTTGTTTGTTCGTTAATGTGGTCTGTTTCCACCCACTTTACTGTGAGCTAATCAAGGGTAGGGAGCAAGTCTTCTCCATCTCAACAGTTAGCCCAGTGCCTGGCATGGAAGAGGTACCAGGAGGGTCTGTTGCATGAATGAATGAAAGACATTCCTGCATTCCTCCTTGTGCTAAGCTGGGGCTCCTCCACTCATCTCCTTGGGTCCTGAGGTCCATGACGGCAAGTCAGCACAAAGCCCTTAGCTTCCCTGGGGCTCCCCTGAGCCCGTGAGAAGAGGCACTCACAGCATCTCTGGCCCTGTCTTTCCCAGCCTTTGTGCTTCTGATTGGAGGCTTCGAAGTCGGCCTGTCCCACTTCCCCTTCTTTGCCTGCCTCTCATCGGAGTTCCAGCTGGTCAGCTCCATCCTGGGCTTCCTCTACTCTCTGATCTGGTAAGACAGACTCTGCCTGCCTGCCCTCCCACAATTCCTTAGGCCATTGCTGAACCCTGGACAAAGGGCTGGCGGTGACCTCAGAGCTCTCCTTGGGAGGGTACCTTTGCTCAGAACTTAGGCCCAGGGAAGGTGGAATGACTGGTCCACAGTCCCACTGTCAGGCCAGCATTCTGTCTGCTTCGCAAGCGGCCATTCCTGATTCACACATTCCCAGTATTCAGAGATGTAGGAAAATTCATTTCCATAAACTGCGAGGGTCCCACTGGTGGCAGCAGGAGTCTCGTGTGCATGCTGCTTCCCTGTGCTGTGGCTTCCCTGGAGAAAGTGCATGTGCCTCAGTCTCTCTCCTGTCTCTCTCCTACCCCCTAACCAGTCTCTGGCATGTATGCAGGTCATATAGAACTCCTGCATTCCTTCCTCATACTCATTTAGCAAACTGGACGAGCCAGGGAACATACTGGAAAACGAGACAAGCCCCTCGTGACCACGTGTTCTGGCCGCCTTGTCTCCGTGTTTCTCTTCCCCGGGAGGATTATCTTCCCCCACCCGGCCCAGGGAGGGACATGTGCTCGTCCTTTGTGGACTGTTGCCACCACAGTGGGAGCTCCCTGACCCTTCTGTCAGCTCTGTGCCCTCGGCACTGGACCAGCAGACCTGGCCCCAGGGAATGTTTGCTCACTGAATCATCCCCTGGGCAATTCCACTCTCTAGTCCTGCTAGGCTCATTTCCTTGTCCACTTCTCCTTATGGGACCTGCCTCCCTCATAGCACTTTGAGGGCAGGGGTTCCAGGCCCAGTGTCTGAAGCATGCAGGGGGCTGACAAGTGACTGGCACGCCAGTGGCTGCAATTCCAGAGTGTATAAGTGGCTTGCTTTTAAAAAAAATTACAAGAGAGGATATTCAGTGTTAGCTGAGGAGTAACGTCTCAGCCTATGACAGACTCTTTGACCAGGAGAGGACAGGGTGGCAGGAGTCACGCCGCAGCGTGGACACCATGGGAGGAAGACCCAAGCTTGGACATGACCAGGAATGTGTGTTCAGCAGGAGCAAAGCTTTGAGGCTCATTCCTCAGGGCGGTGTTTACAGGCAGACAGAGCCTCAGCCCCAGAGTCAGGAGACCTGGGTCTTGGTCCTGGCTCTGGTGTGACTCTGGACAAATCCCTTCCCATCTCTGGGCTTCAGTTTCCCTACCTGAGTGAAGGGGAGGGATGGGGGGACTGCTCAGGGTCTTCCTGCTCTGCTGCTGTGGATTCTGGGATTGTGTCCGAGGTGAGGGCATTAAATGAATTTTGTTGCATGTTCTTAGGCACAAGCAGGGTGCCTGATCTGGGTGGGGCATACACGGAGGCCTGGAAACCAGCCCTGTCAAGGAGGTAACTTCAGGCCGGGGCGATCTGGGCTGTTGTCACAGGGGCTGGAAGTACCCCAAGTCCTGCTTCTCTCCGGCAGGTTTGCTGTCACCATTCTTCACATCACACAGTGTCCCCATGGGCAGGTGAGTCCTGTGTGACTTTGAACAAGCTTCTGTCATTCTATGGGCCTCCGATTTCTCCTGTGTACAAAAGGGAGTTGGAACCATTCGTGCTGCTTCCATTGTATAGTATCTTATGTTCATCAAGGTACTACTTCAGAGAGATATTCTCTCAGTCAATGCCCATAGCAGCCCCTCAAGGTGGGGAAGCTCTCAACAAACCTGTTTTATAGGTGAGGAATCTGAAGGATATGGAGTAACTCTTAAGAAGCAGCAGATCTGGGCACTGAGACCAGGAATGGCTGAATCAGGGGCTCATTTCTTTACACTCCTTCATGTAGCCTCAGTTTCCCTGTCTATTAATGGGAGACTGATACAGCTGTTCATCTGTTTAGTCCCATACCCCAGGAAAAGGAGCAAGACCTCTCTCTCTCTCTCTCTCTCTCTCTCTCTCTCTCTCTCTCTCCCCCCCTCCCCCCCCCCCCCGCCCTTACTTTCCCTCTCCTCTTCTTATATTTTCCAAAAGGAGCATTTCACACCTCATCTGAACAAATCCCTTTGTATAAAGTGAAATGGGGGTGTTGGACTCATATCCAGGGCTGCTGGACTCCAAGTCCCCTGCTCTTTCCAATGATGTGGGGCTGGAGGAGCAGGAATCCAAGCTTTGGGAGTGGGCTTTGGTGGGAGCAGGCTGGGGCAGGCAGGTTCCTGTCCACAGCTTCATCAGGGGCCTGGCCCTGCCCCATCTAGATCCAGTGACCAGTGGTCTGCTTCGTTGCAGTTTTTGGGGAGGTATCAGACCGTCATGTTCTACTGGCCCTCGCTGCTGTGCCTGTCCTTCCTGCTGGGCCGCTTCCTGTACATGTTCGTCAAGTCTCTGAGGGTCCACCTGGGCTGGGAGCTGCAGGCGGTGAGTACTAAGTATAAGCACTGCGCGCGTCCTGACAGGTTTGGTCTCCACAACAGTCCGTGCGGGAGGTGCTATTACCCCTCCACCCGTTCTGTAGCAGGCAGCTTGGGCCCAAAGAAGTACATGTGTTGCCCAGGATCACGTATCCCGCCTGTGGCAGAGCCAGAAAAGCAACCCAGACCGTTTGGTTGTCGAGGCTTTTTCTTAACCACTGTTCCTTTTCTGATTCCTTCAGGTATAGAGTTGGGCTGTTCGTTTGAGACCTTTCTTTTTGCTAGTGTAGACATTTACCACTAAAACTTCCCTCTTAGAACTGCTTTTGCTGCATCCCATAAGTGGTGGTCTGTTGTAGTTCCATTTTCATTTGTTTTTAAGATATTTTTTGATTTCCCCTTTTTGATTTTTTTCTTTGACCCATTGGTTGTTGGTTGTTCAGGGATGTATTGTTTAACTTCTACATATTTGTGAGTTTTCCGGTTTTCTTCCTGTTACTGATATCTCGCTTTATGTCGTGGTCAGAAAAGATACTTGATACTTGAACTTGTGAAGGCTTGTTTTGTGTCCTAATGTGTGGCGTATCCTGGAGGATGGGCCCTGAGCTCTTGAGAAGAACATACCTTCTGATGCTCTTGGACGGAATGTTCTGTATATGTTTATTTGGTCTATTTGACCTATAGTGCTGTTCCAGTAAGCCGTTTCCTTATTGATTTTCTTTCTGGGTTATCTGTCTATTGTTGAAAGCTGGGTGTTGAGGTTTCCTACTATTTTTAAGTTGCTGTATATTTATCGCTTCAGTTTTATTAATAATTAACTTTATATACTTAGGTGCCGTGATGTTGGGTGCATATATCTTTACAATTGTTATATTCTCTTGAGGAATTGACCCCTTTATCATTATATAATGATTTTTTTTGTCTCTTGTGGCAGTTTTGACTTAAAGTCTTTTTCGTCTCATATAAATATAGCCACCTCTCCTCTGTTTTGGTTACCATTTGTATGAACTATCTTTTTCCAATCCCTTACTCTCAGCCCGTGTGTGTCCTTAAAGCTAAAGTGAGTCCCCTATAAGGTAGCATATATTTGTGTGAGGTGTTGTTGTTTTAGTTCATTCAGCCACTCTATGTCTTTTGACTTGGAGAATTGAATCCATTTACATTTAAAGAAATTGGTAGGTAAGGACTTAAAGTTGTCATTTTGTTAGTTTTCTGACTGTTTTGTAAGTCCTCATTTCTTGCTTTTTTTGTGATGTGATGTGTGTGGGTCTTTTTGTTGTGGTATGCTTTGATTCCTTTTTCTTTATCATTTGTATAAAACAGTTTTTTCTTTGTGATTACTATACGGCGTATATAAAACATCTTATAATTATAACAATTTAAGTTGATAACAACTTACTTTAATTGCATAGAAAAGCTCTACACCTTTACTCTTTCCCTCATGAGAGAATTTGCAGGCCAAGGTAGGGGTCTCTCTATGCACTGAGCTGCGCCACCTTGAGGATGGGTGACACTGGTGAAGTGAAAATGTTCTTACCCTCTTCAGTGCATTTCTTCTCAGAGTTTTTGCTTGACTGGAGTTCTGGAACCTCCCCAGTACACTCATGGGCTTCTACAAAGTTACTCTCATCTGTGGGTATTTGTCAAAATAGGCGTATCAGCGTGGCCTGAGGGCTGGAACCCCCTATTCCTCCATCTCATTGATGTCACTCACCAGTCAAAATTCTAACCAGATCCTCTGTACTCTACCTAATATCTGCATTATTTAAGATTTCATCTCATAGCATGTAAAATGTATATATTCAGCATATATATAGCAGAATAGATGAGTACTGTGAAAAGCTAATTACACTTGGAGAAAAAATTATTATTGTTATTATTGATTTCAGAGAGGAAGGGAGATCGAAACTTCAATGATGAGAGAGAATCATTGATTGGCTACCTCCTGCAGGCCCCCGCTGGGATCGAGCCCATAACCCCGGCATCTACCCTGCCTGGGAATCAAACCGTGACTTCCTGGTTCATAGGTCAACTTTCAACCACTGAGCCACACCAGACAGGCAGAGAAAACATTTTCAAACATATCAGTAAAGTGGGTTTTTTTTAAAATACTGCAGAATAAGAAATGAGTGAAAGAAACTCTTTCTATTTATAATAAGTAAAAACAATGGGATTTTAAACCGTGTTTTGAACTATGATGGGAAATCACCAAATCTCAAAGAGAAGAAAGACTTCCCAGAGCAGTGACTGGTGCAGTCAGTAAGCAGAGGAGGCAAGGGAGCCAGACCGCCGGCACTTCCTGAAAGCAAGTGCTTGGTAAACAGGAGACGGGACCCTGCTCTTCGCTTCATTAAGTAACAGGTGTCTGGGAATGGCTGAATCCAAAAGAGCAAGTGCTACCCAAATTCCTACCCTCTGTGGTGATAGCCCCTCGAAGAGACCAACACTTCAACACGAATTTGTGAGCCAAAGCATATCCCTCTCTCTTTTCTCACAGGAAGAAAAGCCGTTTCTGGAAATTCATCAGGCAGAGCACGTCAAGCAGCTCCTGCGGAAGCCCCCCCTGCAGTAAGCCACGGTTTGACTCATTCACCACTGGTGTTCCCACCAACAGGGACGAGCCCTGACAGCATGAGACCCTAAGATGACAGGAAGTCTTCTGTATTAGTCAGGGCTCTTGTTTGCTAATGACAGAAACTCAACTCAAATGGGATTAACGAGAAAAGGGAAACGTGTGGCCTTACATAATTTAAAAGTCTAGTGGTAGTCAGTTTCCAGCTTAGGTGGATCCAGCAGAACTAGGCCTCTGTCCCTCGTCCCCTCTTAACTCAGCTTTTATCTGACTTAGCTTTCTGGTTAGATGGGCTTCCTCCCCAAGGTGGCCCCCAGAATCTCTAAGCTTATACCGTCCTGGTTTAAGCTCACAGGAAAGAGAATTTTTCTTATCTAATAATTCAAACCAAAGTCCCATGCATGTGTTTTATTGGGTCAGATTGGACCAAATGCCATTCCAGGACCAGTTACTGTGGCTGGGGGATTGGACTACAGTGATTGTTAAGGCTGGGTCACATGTTTACCACTGGACCCAGGAAGTGGTTCAGCTGCACTTGCCCATTAGGACTGATGGTGGGAAAGGAGTAGATTCTCAGAGAAAAACTCATATGCCATTCTCAATAACAGAGGATATAGCTCTTGGCCAGGCAAAAGTACATGATCTTCAGTGATCATAGTGGTCACCTTACCCCTGCCACTGCATACAAGAGAATATGCCTCAGAGAAGGGACATGTCTAATCTAAGCTCACACAGTGGCAAAACTAGTACTTGCATTAGAATTACACTTGGCTATATGTAGCAAATAATTCTATGTAATAAAAGGCTAATATGCAAATCAACTGAACAGCGGAACGACTGGTCACTATGGCGCGCACTGACCACCAAGGGGTAGACACTCATCGCAGGAGCTGCCCCCTGGTGGTCAGTGCACTCCCACAGGGGGATCGCCACTCAGCCAGAAGCCAGAGCGGGCCTAAGCCGTCAGTCGGACATCCCCCAAGGGCTCCTGGACTGTGAGAGGGTGCGGGCTGGGCTCCCCATGCCCCCCAGTGCATGATTCTTGTGCACCAGCTCTCTAGTACAAAATAATAGTGGCACAAATGAGAGAGATTTATTTCTCATATAAAAGAGTTCTGGCCCTAGCCAGTTTGGCTCAGTGGATAGAAGGGTCCTCCGGACTGAAGGGTCCCGGGTTCAATTCCGGTCAAGGGCACATGCCGGGATTGGGGCTCAATCCCCAGTAGGGGGCATGCAGTAGGCAGCCGATCAGTGATCCTCTCTCATCATTGATGTTTCTATCTCTCCCTCTCCATTCCTCTCTGAAATCAATAAAAATATATGTATTTAAAAGAATTCTGGAGGTTGCAGTCCATATTGATCCTGGACTGCTGCTCACTATGGCACCAAGATCATCTGTTTTCCTGCTTCAGTGATTTCCATCATGAAGGTTGTCCATGGTCCACGGTTGATTCAGGACTCCAGTCTGGATCAGCTACTATGTCAGCATTTCAGATGGCAGGCAGGAGAAAAGGAAAGGCTATGGGGCCCCTTCTGCAGTGTTGTTTCTATCTAACCACCCTCCCCAAAGTCCCACACCACCCCTTTGGTCACTAATTGCCCTGTACTTAGTCTTGGTCACTCTTACAGGAAAGAGAGGTCAGAAACTCTAGCCCAGGGGAGGGCAAACTTTTTGACTCGAGGGCCACAATGGCTTCTTAAACTGGACCGGAGGGCCGGGACAAAAGCATGGATGGAGTGTTTGTGTGAACTAATATAAATTCAAAGTAAACATCATTACATAAAAGGGTACGGTCTTTTTTTTTTTAGTTTTATTCATTTCAAACGGGCCGGATCTGGCCCGCGGGCCGTAGTTTGCCCACGGCTGCTCTAGCCTTTCAGTTTGGTGAATTGCTGCACCAGACAGAACCCAGTCTCTGTTCTTAAGAATCAGGGGAGAATAGAAACTGTAGAATCTACCAGTGTTTTTGCTCTTCACTGAAATCTAAGATGAAGAGGGGTAACAAGGTTATTTTTAGAAGAATTAGGCATTTGTTTACCAACCACAACCTGTCTTTTCTTGGTGTTTACTCATTAACAGAGAGAGAAAAAAGTCTTGGTTTCAAAGCAGGATATACGAGTGGGACCCCTGCTTTCAGTTCCCAAGCAGAATGATCGGAACCACCGTGTTGGCTTCCATCTGCCTGTATCTCGTAAGTAGATCCGAGCACATTCTTTTCTACTTTGCAGATGGGGTGGGGCTGGGAGAGGAGCTGTTCTTAAAAAGCTGGCTCAAAATTTCATCTCTGTAGATTAAACAGTTTTGACTCCAAGGACACTTTTACCCATGTGGTGAACATTACTAATAAATATAATCAAATTATTCATGGAGACTTTACTTGCTAATTCCACATGTAAAGAGCTTGCGAAATGCCATTCCATCCTAACAACAAATGAAAACCTAAACAAACTGAAAAAAAAAATCAACAACTCTTCTTAGATCCATAGAAGTGGGGTTATGGGGTAAATCATTGCCCCTAAGTTGAAGAGACAGACAGGTACATATAGAGAATCACAACAGAATGGAGCAGAAACCCCATGGGAATCAGTGCTGAGATAGGGAAATCTGAACTGTAATGGACACCAACAATCAATCGGAATTTTGGACATTCATCAACTACTTAACAATAGTAGAACACACATTTTTCTCAAGACTACATGGAAAATTCACCAAGATAGACCAAATTTTGGACCATAAAACACATCTTAAAGAATTTAAAAGAATATAAATTACACAGTGTCTGCTTTCAGACCACAGTGGAATTAAACTAGAAATAAATAACAGAAAGATAACTGGAAAATCCCAAAATAGTGGAAATTAAACAACATAGTTCCAAGTAACTATGGATCAAAGAAAAAATATCTCAAGAGAAGTTAAAAATAAACTAAAAAATGAAATGAACTAAGTGAAAACGAAAACACACTTATCAAAAATGTGTGTGAAAGGTCAGCAAAAGCAGTGCTTAGAGGGAAATTTGTAATGTTGAATGTATATATTAGAAATGAACAAAGATCTACATCAATCTCTAAGCTCCTACCTTAGGAATCTAAAAAGGAAGAGCAAATTAAATACAAAATATGCTGGATAGATATAATAAAAATTAGAGCAGAAACCTGTGAAATTGAAAATAGGAAATTAATAAAGAAAATCAGTGAAACCAAAAGCTAGGTCTTTGAAACAATAAAATCAACAAGCCGCTAGCCAGACACAAAAACAGAGAGGGGACACTTAGAAATGGAAGAGGGAACATCATTACAGATTCCATGGGCTTAAAAGAATAATAAAGGAGTAGTATGAACAATTCTGTGCCCCCAATTTTGATAACCTAGGTGAAGTGGACGAATTCCTTGAAAGATACAATCTGCCACAACTTAAACAAGAAGAAGTGGACGATCTGAATAGGCCTAAAGCTATTAAAAGACGTTGAATCAATGAGTAGTGACCTTTAAAAAAGAAAGCACCAGGCCCAGATGGGCTCACTGGTGAGTTCTACGAGACATTTATTTCAGCAGAGCTAAGAAAAATAGCTTCATTGAGGTCTTTTATGCTACACTGTTACTTAACCAAATAAAAATTATGTCATTTAAATATAAAATAATTGACAAATAATTTTTGGATTAAAAAGAAAAGTGGATAAACTTGATGTACTATATTATTTTAAAGGGTCAAAAATGGAAATGTCTTATTTCATTTGGCTGTTATTTAACTTTGCTTTCTCAACACACATACACACACACACCTTTACACTTTCTTTGTTGTTAATCCTCACCTGAGGATATTTTTTTCCATTGATTTTTTTTAGAGAGAGTGGAAGGGAGTGGGAGAGAGAAAGAAATATCAGTGTGGAGAGACACATTGATTGGTTAACTCCTGCCTGTACTCCTACTGGGGCCAGGGATTGAACCTGTAACCCAGCTATATGCCCTTGACCAGGAATTGAACCCTTTGGTCCACGGTCTAACACTCTAATGACTGAGCCAAACTGGTCAGGGCTCAATAAATTTTTTATTAAGCACAGAATCAAAACATTTCGTGTGGTCAAAGTTATTCAAGGTAAACTGGGTCAAAAGCAGGGTCAAAGTGGAGTGATAAAAATGGCAAGGCCAGAGTTAGTAGGAGCAGGATGGCATAATGAGGGAGCAGGGTGGTATGATGACAGGATGATGGGGATGAGCAAGCATGGCATGTGTATAGGAAATGGTACCTTCTTTTTGGTTATCACTAAGATGCAAGAAGGGGAGCAATGAGATATGACTGGAATTGTCCCCAAGGTCACCCCTTATTCAACGTCAGGCATTTATCTCACTCTGGTTTAATTAAAGTTTGAAGAGTTCTTTGAGCCCTGTAGGACCTTGTCTCGTACGCTGAGGGGTGAAGAACAGAGTTTGTGGTGTCTCCCGTCTACAAGGAAGCCACAATCCCATTCACCTCAGTAGAGCCAGTGTCCAGAGTCTATTGCAGATGAGTGTTGAACTTCAAAGAGTTTTGACCTCAGAACCAAAGAGAGACCCATAGTTATTCACATACTGGGCAAAAGCTGGAGTAGGGTGAGACCTTGAAGCATTTGCTCTGTGTCCCCAGTTCATTGTCATTGAGTTCTGCGTGTTCGTGTATGTGAGAGACAAGCTGGATGTGTTTGAAGGCGAGTTAGAGAGCTACATTGCCTCCGTGAACCAGACCGGGACCCTGACCCCAGTCATCCTGCAGGCGAAGGAGCTGATGAACATCTCCAAAGGTAAAACCAGCCTTGCACATGGTTGCCCTTTAACTGGAGGTGGGTCACCATCTCCCCTCCCCATCCCCCAAAAGTGGCAATTAGAAGTTCAATAAAGTTTTACAAGGATGGCAGCTACCTAAAATGTATATATGCCATAATTTTCTCTTCCCATTATTCATGGGTTGAAAATATTAATAGCAAAGGAGAGGACTGTGCAGGAAATAAAGTATTTCAAGGGTGTGTGTGTGTGGCTAAAAATGAAACAGAAATACATAAGCACAACTGTATTTACACAAGAAGTGTGTTAAAGGACCCAGACCTTTCTGATGTGAGTTTCTGCATTTTGAAAATACTGTTTCTAGTTCACCTTCGGAGGCCTCTCCTGTCATCTGTTCTGTTTCAGGAGTCTGGGTGGTTACCATTTTTCCTGCCTTCCTCACGTGTGTGAGCTATCTATTCCACATTTTGGCTTGTTACAGGTAAGAGGGCTCAGGGTGTCTATTGTGTGTCTCCAGCCAGGAAAGTATCTGATGGAATTTTCTAAGAATTCCCAAGCAGTGCCAGCAGTGACCGGGAGTGGAACTGGGAGTGTGTGCAAGGTCCAGGGACAACCACATCTATTGTTAGTAAACAACAAATCAGAACTATTGACTTGAGCTTCTACCATGATTTGGACATTGTGCTAGAATCTTCATTTCACCACAGTCCTGAGGGGTACTTTCATCTCCATGAGAAAGCTGAGACTCAACAAAATATCGTACCCAAGCAAGTAACAGCTGATCCTGTCTTCTGACCCCAGACCTTGACATTTCTTGTTCACTTTGGCAACTCTCTTGGGTGTCAGACCCCTCTTGCTCTCCAGGACTCATCGCACCGGGCTATCAGCAGATGAATGTGGCTCAAGAAGACATCAGAGGAAATTGGGTCAAGGGGACCAGGGGCCTCAACCTCAAGGACCGCAGTCAGTGCAGGAGGAGGGGATGGCCCTCAATACTAGCTAGCATTTGCATCAAATAGCTGTTGAATGCAGGTAGCTCTGGCCTCTCTGTTTCTCTGCCTTTGTCTTTGCCTCTCTCTTCCTCTCTTTCTGTCTCAGTCTCTAACTCATACTGACTCACAGGAAGCTCAGGGCCAATCTTCCTGCCCCCCCCTTGCCCCCCCGAATATCCTGCCTTTGCATCCTCACCATCTGGCTGCCCACAGGTTGAGTCTCTTGCCAGTGGCATCCAAAAGAAAGACTCTCTTGGCATGAAGAGGCCACAGCTTCACTTCTCCCTGGGCCCTGTGGGGGGACTGGACACTGATGTTGTCCCCTGCCCCGTCTGATGAAGGGACATGTCTCTTCCTTTCGTGCTTAGTCTTCAAGCCGTTGGGAGATTTTCACTGAGACGTTTGGTCATGAGCAGGGACAACCACTGTGCAGAGCAGACTGCATGGACGTGGGCAGGGGGCAACTGAGAGCACAGGGAAGAGAAGTCATGTGTGCTGGGAAGGCCTCATTCCTGCCCCGGCTGGCTCCCTCTCCCACACCTGTCACCCAGGAGTGATGATCCCTGCTCTGCTTCCATTGTAGATGATGGAGCAGAGGAAATAATGGACAAGAAAGCACCCTACAACCTGGGAAGCGTTTTGCCAGTATTTTATTTTTCTTAGAATTATTCCAACTTACAGACAAGCTATTTTTTTTTAAAGTTACCAAAAAAATATTCAGTGTAAAGAAACTCTTCCATTCAGACCTCAGTTTATTGCCCCTGAGCTAAACATTGTTTGTATTCCTGGTTGCACACTCTGCTCCAGGGCTGCCAGACAGAAACACCGTGAAAGCCATAGGTGCCATTTTTCATTTTCTAGTAGATGCAACTAATAAAGTAAAAAGGAAGGTGAAAATGATTTAATGAAATGCTTACCCTAACAGAACCCAAATACCATCACTTCCTCATGTAATAAATATACAAACTGTTAATGAGATGTTTACACTCTCTATTTCATACCAAGCTGTTCCAATTCAGTGGTCATGAAATGACAAAACCACCTGGAAAATGCTGGAGATAGAATGTTATTGAAAAAGCAGGACCCAGATGTGAATTTGGACCATGAACTTGACTCTGCCAACCTAGTCTTTATGCAAAGGTCCAGGCCCGAGACTAGCAACTGGGAAAACATGCGGTGATTTCTTGGGGTGCTGGGATTGTGAGGGGTGGTGGCCCCCTTTTCATTTCCCTTTATAAGTTGGGAGTATCATTACAAATGGCTTCCTGTTTTCATCTGTTTTAAAGTATTATTACATAAATGACTTATAGTCACTGTAGAAAAAATACAAAAAGTAGAGCAAAATGAAGAAAATAAAAGCCACATACACAGTCTCAAATAGCATCATGAAGACTAGGTAACTGTATATTATTTTAATAAAATGTATTAAACTGGAGATTTTTAAGGCTAATCAGAACCATCGCATGAACTATGGTCAGTAGTAGAGGCTAAGCTGCCCACCATCTCCCTCCACAGGCCCTTCTGTTTGTATCTGTTGAGCTCTGCGTGCATGAGGAGTTGTGGTTATGAACATTACTAATTTCCCGCCTTTTCTCTAGAAAGCACGTGAAGAGGTTGTGGGCAGGAAATAAACACTTTCTCCCTCTGAAGTTCCATAACCCTTCCTCCTCAGGGAGTGTGGTAAGTCTGCAGAGACCTGTCTCCTGCACCTCGGACAGGGGCAGCGTGGTGTGGGGGAGCCCTGGGTGGCAGCCGGAGGCCTCAGTTCTAGGACGCTCTGCTGCTGGGTGATGGGACAGTGGTTCTCATCACGCGGTTCCTCAGCTGTGAAATGAGGACAGTCAGATGCCTAAGTGGGTTGGTGGGTGAATCTCCAGTGAGACAGGGATGCTGGACACGTGTCTGAAGTGATCAAGGTTTTCTCCCCTCTGGGACCCGTTTTCTTTTTAAATCCCAGGCGGCCATTGCAAGGTACTCTGGCTGGCAAATAGCCTACATTTTGTGGGGTAAGTGCCATCACGCGACCCATTCAATTCAACACACATTACCTGGGCACCTGCGGGGCCTGAGGGTAGGCAGGGAGGAGAGAGGTGAGGCAGGAGCAGCCCTAGCTCCTGCCTGAGAGGGACCTTCAGGAAGGAGGGAGAGTCACACAGTCATATAGATCATCACCCCCACCTGTCCTGAGCCCACAGGGTGTGTATGCCAAGGGCAGTGGTGATCAGAGGAGGAAGTGACTCCACACCCTGGGCAGGGCTTGAGTGCATCCTAGTGGAGTTGGCATTTGAACCACACCTGGCAGGGTGAGCAGAAGGTCAACAGGAAGAAAAATGAGGGCATGCCGGGCAGAAGAAACAGCACAGACAGAAGTGTCAGGACCTTTGGTGGCAGGAGGATGGATCGGGGCTGCAGACAGGGACACAGGTGACTGGGTCATGAAGGGCCTTGAGTGACCACCGGCTCCCTCGGCCCACAGGCTACCTCAGTATCCACGTGGTGCAGAGCCTGTGTGGCATGGTGATCGTGTACAGCCTGGTGTTGCCCATCATCCACAACCAGGGCCGGGAGATGCTCCAAGGACTGGGCATTGGAATGTAAGTGCTCGGTGGGCTTCCTGGCATTGCCCAGGCCTGGGAGCTGGTGGGCCCTCGCAGCTGCTGCTCAAAATGCCCCTTTCCTGCTAAGCTCCCACCACTCCCTGGAACTGCGCTCTTAGGTCTGATCAAAGCATGGGCCAGAAGAGCAACACATCGCAATAGGAACCTTACAGTTTACAAAATATTGCCACTCTCGTTGTTCAACGGGGTCCATCCAGTGGTGTTTGTGGCAGATACGCATGTGTCCATTCGATAGCTGGGAAGGTTCAGAGGAGAGGAGGTGAAGTGAGAGGACAGTGTAGTAGAAGGAGAGAGGGATCTGTGCTTGGGTTTTAAATCAGCTAGATGACTTGGGTAGGTTGCTTCTCTGAGCCTCAGTTTCCCCGTATGAAAGATAAAAGTGAGTGCTGACATTGAGAATTCACTATGTGCTTTTTCTCCTAAGAACTCTTGGAGGTTGGGACTTATTTAGCTCCCTCTTTTTCAGATGAGGAAACAGAGGTACAGAGATGTGAAGCATCTTGTCCACTGATAAGCAAGACTGGGAGCCTGGCAATCTAAAACCAAAGCCTCATTGAGCCACTGGCTCACACTGCCGCTCAGGGGGTGCAAACACAGGCTGTGGTGCTCCCTGGACACCCCCTGCTCTGAGCTCCTTGCTTCCAGACTCACCTAGAGACACCCATAAGTCTGGTGCAGAGGCTGTCCTGCCCACTCTCACGTGGCCTTCATGAGCCCCATTCCTTTCCTCGATTCCCATGCTGCTAAACCACTCGTCCCAGTTGCCATGCCTGGATCCTGAAGGTCTGGTCTAGAGCTAGAACTCTGACCATGTGACTTTGAGAAAGTTATCGCCCCTTTGGGAGCCTCAATTTTCTCACCGCAGAATGGACGTGGAATGCTCTGTAGGCATAAAGCACAGAGCTCATTGCTACTGTTGGTCTGGCGGGCTGGCAGCATCTCACGGGGCACTTATCACTGGGCATTTGAGAAGGGCTGGAGGAGAGTGGACAAGGCCACCTAGGATGGTCTCACCCTGTGTTTCAGCCTCACCATATCCATCGTCCTGGGTCTCATGATCCTGCAGGTATGGATCGCTGCCAGCTTCTTCCTGCAACCCAAGATGGGCACAGCTGACAAGCAGAAGCCCTTGGCGCTCAACAACAGGTGAGGGCAAAGAAGGGAATGGTGAGTATAGGACTTTGGTCTCAGCAATCTTATTCCTTCCTCTTCACCATTGGCAGGTTTGTGGGCAAATCCTACACTCGCTTATAGAGTGAGGAGCTGTGGTTGAGGAGTGGACTCTGGAGCCAGACTCTCTGGTTCCAAATCTTGGCTCCATCCATTATGAGCTATGTGACCTTGCATGACCTTGCTAAACATCTGTGAATGTCAATAATTGTGCATTTGTGTTCTGAGGATGAGATGTGTTCAAATATGAACTGGAACAATAGTGCTGGCCAGTGGTAATCCTTTCTAATTTACTTATTCAAAGCCATTCATGATGAAGGAAACAGCATAGGCACTGAGCATAAAGAGATATCCCCACAGGACCTGCCTGTGAGAAGCGCAGGGTCCGCTGGGGCTGACAGACACAGATATAGGGACAGTAGACTCCAGACAGAGGGCGTGAAAGCATCACAAGAGAAACAGGAGTAATGAGGAGAGGCAGGGTGGTAGAAGAGAGGCAGGAGTGGTTAATTCCACGGTAAGGGGACGTTTGAGCGGAGGTTGATAGGATGGTGGGATGCTGAGGAGAGGGCATCCCCCACTGCACCATGAAGGCAGGAGGCCATGAAAGGGCAGGATGAGTCAGGAGAACAGTAAGAATCAAAGGTGATGGCCATGCAGTGGCCCTGGGTGGTGAGGGGAGGGAGGGGCACAATGTGCCAATGCCAGAAAGGCCCCTTTCGAGGACGGCCCAGCAATTCAATATGCAAAGTTTGCACTTATCCCATAGGCAGCAGGAGACCCCACGATCAAGTGGTCATTTGGGAAATTTTATCTGGAGAACTCAGAGCAGTCCCAGCTGGGGGCAGGTCGCTGTTGCAACAGACAATGGGGAAGCCACAGCCTCTGTGTTACCACACAACCAGCTGCAGCCACAGGAGATTTCTCATTGTTCAGGAAACCTCAGAACCCAAGGGTCCCATCAGACATTGCAGTCGCTACTAGCATTCGTCCTGCCCTGTGCTCAGAGCCCTCTACGTTACAGCTGAGCCAGTCCTCACACCAGCGCTGGGCGGTGGGGATAGTCAGCTCACACGTACAGCACAAGGTCATACAGCTCGCAGCCAGGAAATGTAGGTTTTGGCCAATGGTCTGGGGCCCCTGAGCCCGCCTGCCTGGCCAGCTTCTCACACTGAAAGGGTGCCGCCCCTCCGCCTGCTTCCATTCGCAGGAAAGTGTTCCACAACTTCAACTACTTTCTGTTCTTCTACAACGTGCTGCTGGGCCTGGGCGCCTGCCTCTCCAGGCTTCTCATCAGCTGCATCCTGGGCACATGGCTGATCGCCCGCATCGACAGGACCATCATGCAGAACGGCTACGAGGGAGCCGACATGGGTCAGTGGCCAGCCCCACCTCCTACCTCTGGCCACACCCTGTGGCCACCTGTTGGGGGAGGACTGGACTCCCGCCTTTGTAGAAGCCACCTGGAGGTCGGGTACCAGGGGCCTAGGGTTCATGCCTCACTTCTGCTCAGAGCTTATCTTCCCAGGGAGGCTATAAACTGAGTAGGAAAAAACAAACAAACAAAAAAACCCCAAAACATTCAGCCCAATGGGGAGAAGGGAATGCAGGCGATCGAATATCTGCGCAGCTGACAGAGCTTTGAGGTATAATGGCAGGCAGTGGGAGGTAGCACAGTTCTCTCTAAATGGTTAGGAGGCGAGTTGTGACTGCCCGGCTCTGAAACCTTTGAGAAAGGACTCATCCCAGCATTACTGGTGGTGCTATTTGGAAACTTAGAGAAGAAATTGGTCTGTCCAGTTGAAATACTCCAAAATCAAAGCCATTTCTGTAGAGCGAAAATAGCTTTTGTTCTGTTTCTGGCCCGTGTCCATTCATTCACTCATCTGTTCATTAAAGGAGCCCCAAGCTCCTTTGAGCTTCAAGTTCCACATGAAATGGACGGATGACAGTAGAATGTGATCTGTAAGGGCCCTTTCGGCTCTTTATACCCAATTTTCTAGATTCTCGGCAAAGACACGGGCACCATTTAGGAGCAAAGTGATGCTGCAGTTGTCATAAAAAGCACCCCCCGGGCCACCCTGTGATGTGCCCCAGGGCCTGACTTGCCTTGTGGATTTCAGGGTTCAGTGCATGGGTTGGCATGCTCTATGTGGACCATTATCACACCAACCCCGTGCTGGTCAGCTTCTGTCACAACCTGCTCACAGGCCTGAGGGAGAGGAAGCTGCAGCAGGCCATCAGATGTGAGCACCTGCGTCAGTCAGCAGGTGAGTCTCCTGTTTGAACCTTCCCTGTGCTAGACACCAGGAAACAAATACAGTGGGGCCTTGACTTACGAGTGTCCCGACTAACGAGTTTTTCGAGATATGAGCCGTCTCTCGGCCGATTATTTGCTTTGAGTTGCGAGCTAAAATTCGGGTTACGAGCCAGCTTCAGATACCCCACCGCTAGTTGGTGCAGCGAACGTCACAGTGAACGCCACAACATCAGCCCAGCATCACGTGTCTCACTCGTTCACTTTATGATTTGACATACGAGTAATTTGAGTTACAAGCTCCGTCATGGAACGAATTAAACTCGTAAGTCAAGGCCCCACTGTACCCTAACATTTTCTGGGATCCCTGAGATGTCGCAGGTTCCCCTTCCCTGCCTGCCTTCCTCCACACTCCCTGCCCTGGGAAATCCACTCAGGAGATCAGGAGGGTTAGCCCCTAGTCAGCTTGGCTATGGGGCCCCTGAGGCCTTATGTCCTTGTCCTTCTAGCTGGCTCCTCCCTGTTCCTCAAAACGAGCTCTAGTTCTGCTGAGTCCCCTCCCCCCAATTTGTTTGAGACCCCACGCATATCCCAGCCTTCAGCCAGATGCCCTCCAAGAGGGCATTCAGCCACCAACTCCTGCCCCTCAAGGCTCTATGCTGTCTACTCCCCACTCTCCCACCTGATTCCTCTGCTCTGCCTGCTGCTGGGCAGCCCTAGGTAATCTTGTCTTGTCAGCACCGATCTGAACTGCGCTCATCACTGTTCCCAACACTGCAGACGCCCAGCTCTATGGGATAAATGCATCCTTCCACCCACCCTCATGTCCCCAGGACGCCTGGTCCAGCCCCTTGCCCAACTTGTATCCCAAACCTCACACCTCACATACAGTTTTTCTTTAGCCTCGGAGAAGCACAGAGACAGCTACCCCCTCCCCCGCCCCCAGGCCACCTGCTCTGATTCTCTCCTAGGTCCCCGCACCTCGGCGAGGCCCAGGACAAGGTGGCTCCTGCTACAGACCCTGATCAACAACCCCAGACTGGTCATGCTCAGAAAGTCAAAACCAGACCACGGCTCCCAGGAGTTCACCCAGATCCTGCTGACGGGCTCGGAGAGCTGACATGGCCTCCGGCACCGCTCCTCGCCACGTGCCGAGACGAGGCCCCGGCTACCCAGCAGCTGCCCCCCAGAGTGACGGCACGCCCAGCCACTGTCCACATAGGTGGCGCATGCAACTGGCCCCTCAGGATATCATCTGAGCTGGACGATGAAGGCTCAGGTCTAATTCACTCCTCTAGTAAAAAGACCAAGCACGAAAGAGAAACTCTGTTGAACAAACTCTGTCCAGTCATGATTTCTCCTCCCCATGGTTGGGAGACAGCCTTGGGGAGTTCCGTGTTGAGACGCACTTAGTGTGACCACAGGGCAGAACTTTGTGTCACTGAGGAAGGTGGTAAAATTTCCGTATCAGGATAGTTTAACCGTCTGATCTTTTTTCTCTGGGAGAAAGTACAGTCTTAATTCAACAGGGCCCTCATTGCTTCCTCCTTTCCAGGCCTTACCGTGGTGAGAGAGAAGGAAACCTGTGGTCCATCCTCCCATCTGGTAGGGGGAGCAGGCACATACTGAGCTCTCCCTGCCGGGACGACTGGGCCTTGGTCACAGAGATGTACACGTTCTCTCTGGCGAGGGGATCCCCTGGGAAAGCCACCTTCCTGGGGAGGCAGAGGTGGGCGTGCAGGCATTCTAGGTGGGGGACGATAAGAGCAAAGCCGAGAGAGCAGGTGCGTTTGAGGAGGATGAGCCCTCCGGTGCGTGCAGTGCAGGGCGTTAGACCCTCCAGGGAGGCCCAGACGCCACGCTGGAAGCCTGGACATTGCTCTCTGTGCAGAGGGCCTGGGACTTACCCAGATCCTTCACACCCAGGCACGAGGTCTCTGATGGCCCAGGGTCCGTACAAAGTCTGACCATTCACAGTGCAAGTGCCAGGAACTCCCAACAGGGTGAGGGAGGTCTCTGTCCACCTCCCAGAGCCATTGAACTTCAGGAATCATTACCGAGCACCCATTGTGAACCCAGTCCTGTTGCTAGGTGTTTGCCGGACTTATCTCTTAACTTAATCCCCACAACTGAGCTTTGTCACTCTGCTTTTAGAAGCTGGGAAAATGGGCACTCGGGCTTCTGGATCTCCACATCATCGCTTCTTAGCCGTGTGGCATTGGCTCAATTACATTGCCTTTCTGTGCTTCCTTTTCCTCACATAGAAAAGGGCTAATACCTACAACACCCAAAATTATTTGGGGGATGAAATGAGTTAATACAAACACTCCTAAGTTAATGCCTGATTTACCCTCAACTCTCAATAAATACCTGTCACGTTATACTTGGTGGTGATCTGATTAACGTCTGCCCGCCTCAGGATGCGCAGCTCCGTGAAGAAGGGGCCGGCCGTGGTCTCCCCTGAGGTAGTTGCCTTGCGGATGGATTACTACTGACTCTCCTCAGGATCTGCTCGGCCGTGGTCTCCCCTGAGGTAGCTGCCTTGCGGATTACTACTGACCCTCCTCAGGATCTGCACCCAGCAGCTCTATCTGCTTCTAGGCCTGTTGGTAGACCTGCTCCCAGAAGTCACCTTGACGAGTGAGGGAGAGCCACGATGTCCCCGAGAGAGAGGCTGGAGCCTCTAGGGGATTTCTAGGATGTGCAGGGCGGCTGGACATCTTAGTTCACAGGTAGCTACATGCTCATGGAACGAGGCCCGCTGTCGTCTTTCCCCTGGCTGTGAAACAAGCAGGAAGGGGAATTCGGAGATCATGGACAAGGATCCCCGGGGATTCAAATCTAGATAAAGGCTGATCATGGGGTCCTTAGAGGGGGGACTCAGGAGGGAAAGTCCTGCCTGCCCTTAGTTCATTTGCAAATTATCTTCCTCTGGCCTTGTCCCTTCCACACGCAGTGTTCAATCTCTTTACATTTCTTTCCCTACTTAGTGCTGATGCAATTCCCGAGACTGGACTAGAAAACCACAAGTTCCTAATATTTGGCCCAGAGAAACCTCAGCAAGAGACGAAGAACGTGTTCCCTCTTCCTTCAGAGTTGTAGAAAAGAAGCCACTGTCCTGGGACAGGACGTAGTCCAGGCAAGTGTTATTTTTAAAGATGCCCACGTGTCAGTGGTTGTTGCTATGCTTGTAAAGAATTTCGACCTCTGAATCCCAGGAGTTCTGAGGGGCTGTGTCTGCTCCTTATTCATGATAATGAAATGTGTTCTCTGAGGAAGGGGGCCCAGAGGGTCTCCTTCATAGCCAGGAAAGGGGTTGGCCCTTCTCCCTTCTCCCATATGCAATACGCTAATGGCCCTGTGAGATATTTTAGTTAGAGGAGGAATGTGAGAATCTGAACTAATTTAAATTAGCACAGGAAGCTAAAGAACCAAACCACAGCTCTCAGCTGTAAAAGGAAATGGATTTTAATAATATTGAGAACAGCACTCTAGTAAGGAATTCTGCCAGTCTGAGAAAACCCTATTGCTAAACCTAGAAGGCTCCCTTACCAGGGTGCTGTTCTCAGAATGTCCACAAGAGGGCGTGATGGCAACACCTCCCAGCAAGGAGGAGAGCCCTCTAGGACTGTCAATTGGGTGTTCTTTTCTGGCTGGATAGAAGAGGGGGATTACCTTGGGGGGCATCCCCCAGGCTCATGGCCCACCTTCACCACCCTGTCCCCACTCATTCTGATTCAGGTACTGTGCTGAGTGCTTGATCAGTCAGTACCCCATGTGTCCCTGCCATGCGAGCGATCATTTAGCATCACCCATTTCACAGAGGAGAAAACTGAGTCCTAGAAAGTGGAGGTGGCCCGCCTCAGGCACAGGATTGGTCAGTAGCTGGGACCTGACTCCTCAAGACCACACTTGGCCCAAAGCTTTACGGAGCCCTTGGGGTTCAGCCACTGTCAGCCTGGACACTCACCCCTGAGCTCACTGGTGGCCAGTTCCTCTGAGCCTTGAGTGTTCCATTGGCCGATTAGGACTGGGGCTGCAGCTGGCAGGACAGGGTGTAGCTACAGGACGGAGCAGTACCTGTGCCACACCTCAGGTGTTCCTCCCAGTGTCTGCCCAGTAGCTGGAGTCCAGCTGCCCCAGGGTGGCCTTGCCACAAGGTCTGGAGCTGATAAGGGAGCCATGGCCACCAGGGAGAGTCTGTACCTGCCCTCATCTAACTCCTGCCCAGCCTTACCTCTCATTCTGCTGAGCTGCTCCATATCCTGGAACCAGGCCCCAAATCGCTCCTCAGGCTCAAGATTGTAATGATTTGCAGCCCCCCGCAGCAGCAGATCGCTCTCATTACTTTGTATTCAGGGACAGAGGGAAAGACAGGCTGCAGGTAGGGCATGGTGGGGGGATGCTGCAGGGGCCTTAGGAGTGAGGACTAAGGCAGGGGTCAGGCCTGGGCCTCTGCACACATGGGAACCCTCCTTCCCTCCAATTCCATCCAGGTCCTAACTGTTCTCAGGGATGGGTGTGAAGAGCCCCTCTTCCAGCACGTTGTCCTTGGTACCAGCCCCTACTTCTCTGTTCTCAAACTCTCCCAATAAATGTGAAGCGCAGGGGATGGAGCATGGAGTGTCCTGCCCAGGGGGGTTCCACTTCCCTCCCCTCCCCCGCAGTGAGTGCCACAGCTACTCGCCTTACTCTTTTTCTGGAGGTTGATCTGATTCCCTCGGGAGGCAAACAGCCAAAGTCCACCAGAAAGAGCCTCTTAGCTAGTCCATAACTAGTCCCCCATCTTCCCTCTTTCTCATGTTTCGGTTCCACAAGAGCCCTCAAGGGGGCAGGGCACACACAGAAAACAGTTCTGGGATCTAGGCCCGACTCTGGGCTCCAAAGTTGGGGGGATGTGGGAGCTGAGGCTCTTCCAGCCCAAGTCTTTCTGATGGCAGGTGGGGGACTGAGGCCTCAGACAGGAAGGGACAACTCTGCAACTTATGTGCCGCCCAACTTGGAGGACCCTGACATTCTCTCCGCTGTGGGCACCGCCTGGGGAGAGGCTGAGCCATCTCGGACAAAGCCTCCTGCACCTTTGCGTTCAGGCAGCTCTGCTGCTTCGCCAGCCTGGGAACTGGGATGGGTGTCTATGGGGAGCCTCCGTTCATTCGCCCTCAAGATGGGCATGATGCCCCAGCTCATACAGGCAGCTGAGAGGGTCCCCAGTACAGGGGAGGGAGGGGGCGCTCTCTTCTACCAAGTCTCAGGATCCTGGTGCCCGCTCTCCTGCCCCCAGACTGACCTCCAGTTAATCCCCCATCACAGTGTCCAGCGTCACCAGGTCAGTGAGGAGCGTGCCAAGGAATAGGATGACACCCACTGGGGTGGGAATGGTGATGAGCCCCAATTTTCAGGTGCTGCCCTGATACCCGCCCCTGAAAACTCCTCACCCTCAGCCTCCTGGCCCACCCCACGGTTCCCATGTGGAGCAGCCTCCCCTCAATCCCCCTCCCTTGCCCTCCAAGAACACCAGATTGCTCCTAATCACCACTCAGGGCCTCCTTTGACAAGTCACAGGATCTGTGGTCCCAGGTCCCTCCCTACCCCCAAATCCATCCTGCACCCAGCTCTCCAGGCCCCCTCCTACCAATCACTCTGGGGGAGGGTTCAGGCACTGTGGCAACAGGAGGCAGGGCTGCAAGAGGAAGGCCCCCTTTCAAGGCCTCCGGCTGGGAGGGAGGAACCCCTCTCCTCTGGCCCTGGAGCCCCTCCCCCACAGGCACACTCCCCTGCCCCTGCTGTTCCTCTTCTGGGCTCTCTAGGGATCATCTCCAGGATAGCTTGGTGGGCTGCTCCTGCCAGGATCCAGGACGGGGTCACTGAGGCCATACTCCACCCCATTTCCCGCCAGAACCCCTCATCTTGGGCCCTGGACACCTGACCCAAGTCAGTTGGTACCAGTGCTACTCCATGCACCAGGGTGCTCTGATTCTAGCGCAATCCCAGCTTGAACGCTCACCCCGCAAGGCCTGGGGCCTGTGGTCTGACCTTGAGCCTATTTCCTCATCTGGAAAGTGAGACTTCACCTCCTCACAGGGTTTCCTGAGGACTCTGTCACCTTACTGTGGTCATCGCTCTCCCCTACACCCCCAGGCAGA